GCCTTTTTGTAGAATACCATTTGCTTGTTAGGGAGGAAACGTTGTTTGAAAAGACAAAATATATAAGCGCTATAGTTGGAAACTAGTTTTTCTTTAAAACTGAAAATCCTAGAGAATAAAGAACTTGTAGTAGTAAAAATTTTTTAATTGGTTAATTGGGTTTTAAAATCTGCCCATTTCTGTGGCGCCTGGGTGGGTCGGTTGGTTAAGTGTCCGACTCTTGATTTCAGCTCAGGTCATGATCTCAGGGTTGTGGGATGGAGCCCCGCACCGGGCTCTGCGTTCAGTGTGGAGTCTTCTTGTCCCTCTCCCTCTACTCCTCCCCTCCACCACCCACTCCCCACCTCTGCTCTCCCTATCTCTGAAATAAATAAATAAAATCTTTAAAATCTGCCCATTTCCCCACTGTGTAAACTCTGGGGAGGGAATGTGCCCTTCATTTTTCATTTAAACAATTTGGCAGTTTTAAGTTCTCACTTTTCCTTTGCCATGTAATAGCCTTGGTCAAGAGAGGTCACCACTCCTACCCTATGTCTGCGGTTCTGTAGGACAGAGACGAGACCCACTGCCACACTTGATTGGGTCTGTGAACAGTTAAGGAATATCACTGTACACTTGCCTAGCACCTTGAGTGAGGCAAGCATATCCCTCAGCTCCTTTTGATATTCACAAGGAGGGTGACCAAATGAAGAGGACCGAGACAGAGGTTAGCCCGCTAAGAGACTGGTCCACGGGCAGAGTCAATGAATAGTACAACTTGGGGCTCAAATTCAGATCTTCTGATTCTAAGTCCAGTGACCTTTCTATCAGAACATGTTTTGTATACTCTTAGAATGCATGGCTTGTGTCTCTTCATTTGACTTGTGATTTTGAACATTTACCCTGGCGCTTCCAGAACGTTGGGGAATTTCTCTACATGTTTGGAAATGTGGGTTGTCAGAAGGTACTTGTCAGTTACCCACGTCACCAGCTTTCCATTAAACTAGGATTTTCTAGACAGGAAAGCCTACATAAATACAAGGCAGCATTCAGCTTGAGGAACGAAAAATGAATGAATGGACACCCACGGCTGTCCACCATCTGTCTCATCACGCCTGCGGGGCAGGTTTACTGACCCGTTCGTACAGGTCCATGAAGGAATGACTGGCCATTTTCCCGCTGCCCAGGCTTAGAGACAGCACAAGGGGTCAGGAGCTTCTGTCTCTCCCTCAGTTTCCCCACTGTGTTCCTGGAATCTCAAGACGGGGGCCAGGAGAGAAGCAAGTACCTATCATCATAGGAGGAGATCCTCTTGCCATCCATGACTCGGGAGGGAGTGAGGGAGAGCAGGCTGAGGGAATACAGCTTTTGCAGGAAGTGGCCCTCTAGAGAAACACAGGCGCACAACGGGGTTATCCTCAGGCTAAAGCGGGGCCTATCCCAGGTTACAAAAGACCAGGCCCAACTCACCTCTGACCCTGGCATCCTTACTGAAGCGCCACTGAGGCACAAAGACGGTTATGTCCCGGTGGCCCCGGTCCCAGAAGTACTGCACAGCAATGGCGATGCCCCGGCTGGAGAAGTAGTGTTGGAGGCCGTGCCTGCGGCGGGAAGCGGTCAGCGCTCCGGGGCCCCAGAGGAGGGGCCGCTCGGGGTCAGGAACTCTGCTCGGATCATCCCTCCCACCCCCCAGCCCGGATCCTCAAGCCCACCGGGTACTCACACCATGGCCACATTGCTGCCGTCGATGACAATGTGACGGAGGTCTGGCTGGCCGGGGACATTGGCAAGGCACAGGGTGAAAGGGTCCTGCAGGGCCTCCTGGAAACGCTGCGTGCCGGTCACCAAGTTGCCCCCGCGCGAGCCTCGTTTCCACGGAGACCCACGACCTCGTGCCGCGACCTGCTGCTTATCTCCCCTGTCTCCTCGGTCTCCACAGTGCCACGGGGGTTCGGGCGCAGGTGGAGGGCTAGGCACCCTTGGAGGTGAGGCTTTCCCGTTGTGTAGCCGCTGCAGGAGGGAGGCTCCCCGGGGCTGAGCTGCCCTCTGACAGGGGCCCTGGGCACCAGGAGGCTCGCCCTGGACACAGACCAACCTTCCTCTGTCCTGAGGCACCCCCTCCTTGCCCAGGGCCTTTCCTGTCAGGGGCCGTACCTGCCCTGCCATTCCTCCTCCTGACTGTGATCTGAAGGCCCCTTCTTTCTCCCAAGGCTCTTTCCCAGGCAGCTCCTTCCACCCCAAATCCATCTCCCTGGGACCACCCTGCTTCCCTCCCTCCAGCTCCATAACCTGTCTCTCTACCCTCAACTCTCGCCACCCCATAGGTCCAGGGTCCAGGGACTCCCTGCCTTCACTCGAGGGAGCTCTGACACCCTGGTACTGAGCACCCAGTGGGCCAGGGCTCCCCCCACCGCAGGGGGGCAGTGCCTGGGGCCCCTGCCCCCTGGCTGCCTCCTGCACCAGGCTCAACAGTTCCTCCTGGACAGCTAGGGGCAGCTGCAGCAGGGCCTCTCTGTGGGCATCCCCACAGGGCTGCAGCAGGGCCGAGAAGTCTCGCAGCACTCCAGCACACTGGGAGGTTCCAGGGGCTCGCCCTGGCCAAAAGTCCCAGCTCAGCCGCTCCACCAGCTCCTCCACTCTGCTCTGAGCCATGACGAAGGCCTCGGTCAGGCCACTGACCATCAGCGAACCGGGGGGCCCTGGCACAAGGTGGGCTGATGTGCTCCAGACCAGACAATCAAGGAAGAAGCCCTGGGCTCCCAGGAAGATGCAATGCAGTTTGGGTGGATAGTGGACTTCATCCTGCAGCTCTGGGCTGCAAAGACCCTTCAGGAACTCCTTGGCTCTGCTGGCATTCTCCTTGGGGCCCTCCAGCTGCAGCCAGATGTGAGGATTCTCAGGACAGTCCTTCGGGAGGACACTCATCCCCACG